TGTGGAAATGTTTTGCATGAATGAATAGAGACGAGCCCCAAGCCATCATCCACATGTTTCTGGATGCCACACACACACACACACGCACACACACGCACACACACACACACACACACACACACACACACACACACACACACACACACACACAGAGCACAAATCCTTTAAAGACTCTGACCTCTGCACGGATGCCCTCCTCAGGTTTCCCATTCAGACTTCCGCTGGGAGGAAATCATTAATGGCACATCGAGCTGCCAGTTTTTCACCCGGCGGCAGCAGCCACCACGCCAATGATCAATCGGCTCAGATGAGTCTGGGTAAACCGGCACAGACGTGTATCAGGCATTAAGCAAATCAATGAAAAGCAGCATGGGAGACAGGAAGCGTGGCGAGGAGTCAGGAAGCTGCTGCAGCTCTACTGGAACATCTAGTGGCAGATGACAATAACATCGAAAACAGGAAAAGGTTTAACTTAAACTCAAAGCTCCAGTACTGAGAACAAGTTTTCTGACTTAATACGAGTTTTCAGCTGCTCTTGTTGAGGTTCCTCTGCTGTTTAAACGACAAGCTTTACACATCATTTCCAGGTCAAACATGCATAAAAAACTGGATATTCAGTCTGGAAGCTGCAGGCTGCATTATTTCCAATTACCAGAGATTTCAAACCCGTCAGCAGATTATAATCTCTGAATCTGATCCAACCTTCATGTTGGTCAATGACCAAAAGATTCCTGTTACTAAAGATAGGCTGAATAGAAATTTATGAGAAAATGACCAGTTTTCCTTCAAGATATCTTACCTTAGATTTATTTGAGAAATGTGTGATCACCATCACTGGTTTCAAAACTCGCCGAATAACTTAAAGGAAAATAACAAATCTTTGCACGTTGAAATCGCAGCTTGTTGTGCAAAAACGTTTTAAATTATCTGAGCATTTATCAACTTCAAAATTTTTCCACTTAAATGAGATCATGCAAGTGTGAGACTTCCAGACAGATGGTGGCGCCAAAACACACAAATGGATAAAAAAAAAAGAAAAAAAAAAAGAAAACGCACACCAGTGTGGAGAGATGAGCCGTTTTCTGAGCAGCAAAAATAATTTATCCCTCAGGAAGAACAAGTGTACAAAAGCTGCATCGATATTCTGGTCAGAAACTCTTTCACTCATCCTTTTTGGTTCTTTTCTTCTTCTGTACAGACATATAAACCAGTGCATTATATCACCCCATCTGGCTGAGCTGAAAATAGTTTTACTAAGAGACGCAAATTCCCACAACGGCCCAACAGCTTGCACAAAAAGTTAAGCCCTTAATGGTGCAAACAAGATGAGCTGTTCAAATAAAGTGGGGCTGAAATCATCAACTGTAATTATCAGGATGAAATGATTATTAAAATATTTGTCAACTAATTTAGCCATTGATTAATTGTTAGTTGCAGTGTACAGATTTAAAAGGCCATTTGTTCAAAGAACAACCTGAGAGCAGCAATAAAGACAAAACTGCACTATATACATATATACACATACATATGTAAAACTCCCATTAATCACTTTTTGCTATCTTATTCCACTTTGCGCAATAAAATATTTACTTATTTTCTCATTTAAAAAAGGAATTAAATTATTTAGTTTTTTTTTTGCATCTTTTAATGTATTTCTATTATATAAAAAAGGCTTATGTGGTTAAATGAAAAATCTGCAGAATGTGCCAATTTTTTTTATCTGATCAACTGATTAACCACCAGAAAAGTTGATTGCTCAAATAATTGTTAGCCCCAAAATAAACACTGGAAACTAATTTTATCCCAGAGGTTTTCGTTCGCTTTGTTTTGCTGCATGGCGGTCCATCTTCTGAATAATTTAAGACAACACTGAGGCTCTGAGGAAAGTGAAAAACGGCACACATTAGCAAAAAGGTGTTGTGCAGATTTCACAAACACATGGATATGAATAAAAAGGTGATTGAGTGGAAAGTGAAATCTACAATCTGTTGGGTAAAGTATTAGATTTACTCTCTGCAGGCCAGTAGTGACAACATGACCAAGAGACAAACTCCACCTCTACATCATCTACATCACATGTGTCAAACTCAAGGCCCGCGGGCCAAATCTGGCCTGCCATAGCTTTTTATGTGGCCCTCTAGATTCTAGACTGAACACTAAGTGAGCTTAAATATGTTATCAATTAAAACAATGCTGTTTTTATCTGTTTACTGACAAGTTATTTCAATCAGTCCCTCCAGTTTTTTGAAAATTATTGTGGAAATTCACACAAAATCAACAAATCCTAGCACTTCTTTTTGCCCCGAGAGTTCATTGTAGATTTTTCTCAAACTGTTCTTACTTGTACTAAACAGCTGCCTCAGCCTTAATTGATGTCTATAGTAACGATCTATACAGCTGGTAATAAAAAGTCACATCTGCAGTAGTAAATAAGCGCAAATATCGGAAATATTTCCAAATTAGTACCACAAAAAAAAAAAAAAATCCTGGAGGGACTGAAAAGATGTCCAATAATATTATTTAATTTTAAGAATTCATTAATATTTTAACAATTTAACAGGTTTTATCAATACATTCTGGCACAACCGGCCCTTTAAGAGCGTTCACGATCTTGATTTGGCCCAAAACAGAAATGAGTTTGACAGCCCTGGTTTAGGTGGAGGAAACTCTGCTGTAATATAGTCAGGACTTGTTCAAACATCCCATCAGTTTCCTGAGTAAACACTAAGGCCTGCTGCTGCTGCTGCTGCTGCTGCTGCTGCTGCTGCTGATATGACGGCGGATCGTTAGTGTGACTGACAGGAGCCGCAACGCAACATTCCTGCAAGCTGCACCGAGGCGTTCTCTGAATAAACAACCTCAAATCTGATCCTACAGGTAAACAGTTAATATTTTCTTTCTTTTTTTTTAAATAATTATATCAAAAATGATAAAGTTTGATTCAACTACATTTTTTTTAAATATGTTAATTTGGTATGGCACTCATGGTTAGAATAGCAAAGCATCGTTAATTACATATATACATATTTTTCACTTTCTACTTTAATACTACCTTAGATTAGGGCCAATAGATGAGTATGGAAGTAAAGTAACTGAAGCATCAGAATATGTTATAGTAAAAAATGGCATTTTGTGTAATATCATTCAGCTAAACAAAAAGCTTAAAATCCTGAAGATTTAAAAACATTAAAAAAAAAAACAATGACCTGACAAACATCTGAAATTAGCAAAACTGATCTTCTGTCTCTAAAGAAACACTCATGCCATCCATCAGTACCTTTTGAGTAATTTGAACCTAAAAAAAAGAAGAAGAATATGAATGCAAGTAAAACAGATTCTAATAAAAAAGTCTCAGTGAAGTAGTAAGTACGGTAGGTTGTTGCTGGCGTGTCACCAGAGCAACAGGAGCCGTCTGAGTATAAACCAGGCAGAAGCTGCTGATGTTGTCTCAGACATCCAAGCTGGACCTGTTCTCAGTACAGCATGCAAGTGAAAACATGTCCAACATCAGTCAGGAAGATCAGGCTGTTACAGCTGTTAACGAGACAGTTGCAGGTACGTCTGCAAACCAGCTAGAAAACAAGCAGTCAAGATCATTCTGCAGAGTTTCAGCTGCAGCAGGACCTGAACCAGAGACGTCATGTTGACCGTGAACTGGCAGCGCTGACCTAACCATTGGGAAATTAAAGAGACATGGCTGAGCGAGCTGAAAAGCTATTACCAGGCTGGAAACATTTGCATGTTCATCGTTTATGAAGAAAAGGTGCTGAGTTGGAACGAAAGGCTTAAAGGCACGAAGGGATTACAGTCCAGGAAAAAAAATTTAATCTATAGCTTTGAGGTATGACGAGATATTAATTGAGCTGTGCGTTTTATTTCTGATCTTCATTTGATCTTCAGTCGCTTGGTGGGGACGCAAACAAACGGCACAACAAGACACACACCTCGGATGTAAACTTTGACCTCACCAATAGACAGCAAATTCATGAACGAACAAATCTCATCAAGTTATTCTGACCAAATGTTTATTCAAAGGCAGGACAGCGTAGATCATAATCATTGCATTTCGTTTCACAAATTTAAATCCACGTTTTGATAAGTATTTCAAAATTTGAACGTGAATCCAGAGTTTTATTCACTGACGTCACTAAATGCTTGAGATCTAAGGAGGGAAAATGCAAATTTAAGGTTAATCTTCATTTGACCAGACCTCACTGGCCCAGAAAGCTTCCCATCCGATCCAAGCAGAAGAGTTCATCTCCCAGTTCTATGAGCTTTTCTTTAATTATTATTATTTATTTCCATTCTTTTTCAAATTGCAGTGTTAATATTTGGTTTGATTTCAAATAAATCCTGAATCCTGACAAATACAAGGAGATCTTCTTCTTCTGCTACTAAAGTTGGATAACTCTGTGGACAGGAAGTTGACACTTTCACTGTTGATTTTGAGCCGTTTTTAAACTGATTCATGGACATTAACACAGGCTTCAGAACAACGGCTACTTCAGCAGTTTTATGGTCCTAAAATCAGAACCCGAAGCTTAGAAATATTTGGTATTTCTATTGAATTACATAAAATCCATGGGCAGCAAACAAAGGGAAGGAGGAGCAAACAATCACACAACGCCTCTCTGATTAATTAGCTGTCAGACTTTTATATTAACCTGATAAATATGTTGCAGCTTCAGGCTGTCAGGCTTATTCAACAAGGAGACTTTGTTCTTTGCTTCGGGATAGAAATAAGTGAAAACTGTGGTTCATTCACTGACAGAGGATTTCCTATTGCAACCAAATAGTAAACAGTTAAAATAGGTCATCATTAGGCTGGAGGTGTAAAATAAATACACACTTATACCCAAGGATATTTGATCCATTAATCCGAAACGTGATTTATGTGGGGGGGAAGGGGGTTGTTTGTTTTTTTTCCACATGGTTGCATGCGACCAAAACACTTTGGTCCTCATTTCTGTGTCGGCAGCGAAGTGGGGTCAGTTTTCTACCTGAAGCAGATGGTGTGCCAGTCGGCGTTGAGGGCCTGCAGGTACTGCTCATCGTAGATCCTCTCTTTGCATCCCGCGCACTCCGGCAAACTTCCTCCAGCTGCAAAGACACGTGGGAAAACGGGATCAAACCCACACGGATGCGAGGCTTTATTTGGGGCCTCGGCAGATCCAACAACGTTCTGATTGTGTCCGAGTTTGCATGAGGCGCTTATCTGGCTTCCCATGCAAACTGACCCAGCTGGTTTATGATTCGCCTGAGGAAGAAGCTGAACACACAACAAGCTGCTATGACATCACTTCTGGCTCAGCTGTACGGACACAGCAGCCAGGCTTCTGGTGCCTGACTGACTTCTGGGTAAACTGGTTATGAGCTGGTAACGGTGTATTTATATTTAATAGCATGAGAACCAGGAATAATGTGGTGATGTTTCCATTTCCTTATTTAAGCTTTCTACTCCGATGGAAATATATAAAATAAATTATTAAAGTTGCTCCAGCGAAGCTTTAGGAAAAATTCCCTGCAGTTTTTTTTTTTTTAAGGTTCTCTGAAGGTTAGATTTTGAAAATGTAACCTTTAGAGAAGGTAACCCTGTGATTCTACAAACCTACTTTCAGGGGAAACTTGAAAGTTTTCTGAAGTTTCTCTACAAGTAAAGTTGCCCTTAATCATTCATGTAACACTTCTTAAAGGTGTTGTATACATTACATCTGGGAAATAATAGGGAACCTTTAGCAAACATTTCTTGACTGTTTCTAAAAGACTGCACTGTCAGCTTTGCATTTATCCTTCAGGGAACCCGTTAGGAATGGTCCAAAAAGGTTCTTTAAAGATGAGATTTTGAAAGTTATGGTTTCACATTTAGAGAAGATTCAGCTCCACACAGATCACACAGTTGCATAATGTTTCAGTGAACCTGCAGGACCCTCTGAAGGTTACACTCTGAAACTCGTAGAAAACCTCGACTAAACATGAAACTTTCTACAAGGTTGCATGTTGAAAGTTTCAGTTACTATTTGCTTGTAGCTCAAAAATGTTGCACTGTCTTTCTTGAAACTAACCTCAAGAGAACCAATAGGGAAGATTTCATAAGGTTTTCAAAAGCTGTCTAGGCCTGTCACAATAAATCAATTAATTGCATGATAAATTAAAAGAAACTCAATAATTTTCATTTGCTTGATTTATCGTTTTTCTCTTTTCTCTCTTATTTTACCAAAAACTGAATGATAAAAGTCTTCAGTCTGGTGTTTTGGTCTCAACTAACTCTTTTTTTGAAAAGTAATTTTGTTTACAGAGACTTCCTAATTTTACTCCATTTGTTGTCTCTGTTGTTGTCTTCCTTGGATATCCCAAATCTCTTCCAGTTCTAGTGTTTAAATGTTCAATAAAACGTAAAGTTTCTTGATCTTTGAGAATGTGTTATTGCATTTTTAGGCCATTATTACTATTATATTACTTGAAAATGGTCTCAAAACAACAATGTTGTCATTTATCGCAATAAGTTCTGGGACAATTTATCGTCCAGCAAAATTTATTTTACAGCTGTCCCTGTAAAAGTTGTATCTACGCTCCAATAAACCTGTCTGAAGATTACTTCATGAAAGGTGTTGGTATCTTCGAGCTATCTTTTAGGGAAAGTCCCTCAATTGGTTACACTGTGAAAGATTTAGTTTCCCTTCAGTGAACACGAAAGTAACTCTCCCTCTAATTGCTCTTTAGATGACGTCCTGTAAGTCAGAGGGAAGTTAACCTTTATAAAACCTTTATGGAATATCATAAAAGTTCTGGTCAGACTTCAGGAAACTAATGCAGGACATTTCTGGATGATTTCTTAAAGGTTACACTGCGACTGTAGAAGCCTCTACGGAACATTATCTGATGGTTCTCATAAGGTTTTATGTTCAATGTTGAGGCTAACTTTTAGAAAACTTTTAGTGGAAGAGATTCCCTGGAGATTCCAGTAAAAAAAAAGGCATTTTCACAGAACTATTTAACAAGTTACTCAACAGGTAAAACAAGGTAAGATGCTGTTCTTACTAAAATGTTTCCAACCCAAAGGTTACTTTATCATTCATCACCCGTCTAGCAAACCATTTTGCATCCAAGTTCTCCATATGTTTTAAGGACTTTGCTTCCTTTTATTTTTGGCAGATCACAACAGCTAATGGGATAAAGTAGCATTAATGTGGTCGCTCATGTATTATTGAAGGCCTGAGATCTTGAGGTTGCACAACAGTTTTCCTGAAAGTTGGCAATCTGCACAACACAAAGCGACGTGTGCAAACATTAACCTGACCTCAGTGTTGAGGGCGGCCTGCAAAGGGCTGTTCACGGCTCCCTTCCTTCTCGCTAATGAGAAAAACAGTTGGTCTCAGGAAGAATAAACCCCTTTGGATGAGTTAATATGAGAGGCATCGTTCACTGCAGAGGAGGCATTGGCTGCAGCTAAAGACAGGAGACTTTGGAAGACATCCATCTCTTTGAAAAATGAAGGAAAGAAGAGCTTAGTGGCAAAACAGGCTTAGGGTTACTACACTCACTGGTTTCTGAAGTCGAATGTCTAAGAGTCATTCTTTCTTTGCTGCATTTGTCAAGACGAGATAGCAAAAGCAAACAGACACACCCTCATCTTCCCCCGCACAGCATGAGCTGTACAGGTGAAGCACATATGTCTTGCAGAATCATTGCAATGCAAATGTAAACATGCAAAGTCTGCGCGGTTCTATTCATAGAACATGAGGGGACAGGACTAACACAGTCTAATACAAGAGGGACAGATGAAAAACCTACAACACAACCAAAATAAGAAGCTAATATTAAACCCTACATTTCTGTGAAATGATGTCCTTTTTTTTACCCACCCAAATGGTAATAAGCACTTAGAAAAGCAGTTGTTTTTCATTTAGACCTAAGAGTCTCGTCTTTTCACCGTTTTGTTGTTCATCTTTAATCTGATCATAAACAGTCATGTTTTTTACTGGTTGAACACGCAGAGTGAGCTTGGTGCGAGAGTCTCTGGTGCACACAAACATGATGGATGCATCAACTCGAGGAAAACACGGCTTCAGAATCAGCGCTAACATGCCCAAACAAGCCTCCCTTTGGGTGAAACGCTGACAAATTCACATCTGATCAGTGGATGTCAAACATAACAGCACAACTCCGCATTCATCGCCTCTCTGTCTGCAGCGTCCTCTGCCTTTTAAACGCCCTCACCACCCCAGCAGCCAGCTCCTCACCTTCTTCCTCTCCCATGCGTTCGTCCTTCCAGGTGCAGCAAAGCAGCATCAACCTCATTCACTTTCCTCTGGTCTCCTCCGGAGAACCTCTGGTCGACAGAGAACCAGTAACCGACGTCCCCCAGCGGCTCCACCGCAGCGCGCTTCCCCGGTGCTGGTGTTGGCTGTGCCTCGGTCGATCCCCGCAGCCGCAGCGGCCCACGCTGCTTCCTCCTGCCCGCTGCTGTTCGCTCGGTTCTCCGGCGGTTCATTCAACAGATCCGCCGACCAATGGAGTGGCAGAGCCGGGGAGAGGAAAATACAGAGGCTGGCCAACCGGGAACACGCCCCAGTTAATGAATTCAGGATTTGTTTCCCATTCGGAGGGAGGGAGAAGAAGAAGAGAGGAATCTATATATGGCAAGTCGTTGTAACATATAATCTAATCACTGTTTAGGATACAAAAACAGCTGGAAACACAGAACTAAAACTGTGATCAGCCTTCAATATCTCATTCGAGAGTCTTAAGATAAAATAATGCTTCGTTACTGCCACAGTCA